GGAAGACCAGTTGCAGAGAACAAATGGAGCAAAGGTGGAAGGGCGCCCTGGATTATGGGTCATCTGGTGGCCTGGTTCATCAGCCAGCCTGCAGGACATAGGAGCGCCTTGAACATGGAGGCTGATGTGTTGGTGGGAGAGAGCGCCCGGCACAGACATGGTGTCTCTGGACCTAGAAGCAGGTGGCGCAGAGGCTCTTGCCTGCGCAGGAATGCCCCGTTTGGTTCTGGGGGAGGCAGGAGTGGGATGCTGGGGTGCGTCTCCTGCTCTCAGTAGGTTTCAACTCAGAACATAAGTTCCCAAGTCTTTTTTTCTTTTGTAAAGCACGGAATGCTTTACAGAAAGCACATCTTACTCAAAATGTGTGTTTACAGAAGCGCTCCACATGGACCGGGAGGCGGCGGGCGTCTTCCATCCCCGGGCTCCGCTGCCTCGGGATGTAAGGCCCTGGGACATCTCGGGCTCAGCCTGAAAACCCTCGGTTGGCTTAGCTATTTATCTCTGTGCTCTTTGGTGGGCTCAGTCCTATGTGAGCAGCAAGACAGTAGAAACCCTTGTGGAAAGCAGATGGGAAGTGTGCCCTCAGAGAACCGTCGGTCCTGTGAGCCAGGCCACTGCCCGAACCAGGGTGCGAGGGCAAAGAGCAGGGAGGCCTAGCCCCCATCCTGCCAAAGATTTGGGTGGTTCTGAGAAAGCAGCCACCCTTCTCTGGGCCCTACTCTCCCTGTGAACCAGGGGGGCTGGCCTGGGGTGGGGCGTCTCTTCAGTAAGGTCTGGGAGGGGAAGTAGCCTCACCGTCACACCATGGAAGTTAAGCTGTGAGAGACACACACACCGGAATGGCTTAGCACGACTAGTTGGCCGAAGGCCTGGCAATGCTCCTCTGCAGGCGGGGAGGGGGCCTGGGCATAGGCAGGAGCTGAGCAGGAAGGAAGGAATGGGCAACAGGGTAGGCATTGTCCAGACTGTGGGTGAGCTATGCCACCAAGCTGTCTTGATGGCAGCCCCCAGAGCTGCTACCCTACATCTGAGACAGACGTGGCTTCATTGGCCACCCCAGTTGTTGAAGGAGGGGTGCAGGGCTTTTTTGAAGAGGATTTGTTTGTGCCATGAGAAAGCAGAGGGGGTTTGGAGAGACGGGGGCACTTTCTGGGCATGAGGGGACAGAAGCAAAGGTCTGGGGGCCTCAGGGAGCTGCCTCTCGCCTGAAGCCCTGGCTTGAGCCCACTACGGGTGGCTGCCCACCTGACCTGATCTGAGGAAGCTGGCCGTTGTCAGGGTGAGTGAGAGAACCACGGCCTGTGTGCCCAAAGAGTGACCTGAGACCAGTTCCGGCTCTTCTCTGAGCCTCAGTTTTCTCATCTGCAGAACAGAGACACTCCTGACTTGCTGTGAGGCCGCAGGATGGCGTGGTCAGCGACCCCTGGGGTCTCTGGAGGTAGGGGCTCGGTTGTAAGAGCTCTGTCCTCCCCTCTGTTTGGAGTATGGGCCCCCCTGAGAGGCGGAGGCACTAAGGGCTCCCTCCCCCAAAGAGGACCCAAGTGCAAAATTGTTCATGGAGATGCAGTTCACTCAAAATGTACTGATGCACCCTCAGTAATAATGGCGTACAGTGCTTCTGAGACCCGCCTCAAGCCTGCTTCTGGAGAGTCTTGACTCTAGAAAACTCTACAGAGCTGAACGTATGCTGGGCAGGGGGCATGTTGGAGGCAAGAGGGGAGCTGGATAAGGCAGTGGAGGAGCAGAAGGACCAACGGGGGGCAGGCTCAAGTCCAGGACCCAAGGCCCCCTGTTCATGTGCTCCTGGCATGGAATGGGAGCCGCGGCATTGGCCCCATCCTGCCATCAGGTCCTTCCCCCAGGGGCCACCCCGCCCAGGTCTGTGAGGCAGGGGGCTCGGAGATGGAGGTGGAAAGGCAGCAGCCACCCCGGCTCCGGCCACCCAGCCCAGGTCAGAGAGCACGACTGGCTGCGGGCATGGTAATGCGTACTCCGGTGGGTGCCCACATCTGTGCGTGCCAGTGAGCATGGCCATCAGGGCTATTTCCAACTCCCCCTCCCCTGTCCACCCTTCTGGGCAGCACGCCCAGTTCCCAGATGAAGCCTATGCACTTCCTCTGAGAGTTCCACAGATGCCCCCCTCCCCTCCTGCTGTCACTGCCAGCCACCCGGCCCACCTGGCAGGGCCCCCTCCCCAGGGCCCCAGGCAGGCGGCACTCAAAGGCCCTTCTTGTGCTGTCCTGTAGGGCAGGCAAATTCTAGGAGGGGGCTCAGCTATACTGGGTTCTGGAACAGCTTTTCCAGAGTTTGGGTGGGCTGGGCCGAGGGCCCATGGCCTCTATCTTGCCCCAGAGGCCAAGGGCACAACACACACACACACACCCTGTCTTCAACACCACTGGTCCCCCCAGACCAACTGCTACGCAGAATCTACCCTGTTTCAATTCCTTGGCCCTGCTGCCTGACAGCCCTGCTGTCTAAGGCACTCCCAACAGTTCAGAGCCCCTACCCAGAGAGTGCAGGAACTCTCCATACCAGGTACTCTGCGGGAGGTGCAGGGAGCCCACAGCCTTGTGTGCCCCATGCTCCCTCTGACCCCCCAGTTGGGCTCCTGCTGTTCCCCTGAGGGGAGCGCCTTCTCGGGGTCAGCTCACACCCAGTCTTTCCCACTCTTGCCCCGCTGCTGAGAGCCTCCTACAGGGCTCAGAAGGAGCTGGACACTGACTTCCGCACCCCCTGCCACAGCCGCCCCCGCCTGGCTGCCTGGCTTCCTATGCAGGTGGGAGTTCCCTAGAGCAGCACTGGGGGCTCTTCCTGGTCCGCTGGGACTCTCTGTGGGACTTAGAGCATTTTGCTTCCTCCCTGGGGCCCCCCTTCCCTGTCTGTACAGTTGGGAGATTGGTTTCCAAGGGTGCTTGACCCCCAGGCCCCATGACCTCTCTGCTCTGGAATGCTGATGAATGCTGGGAAAGCACCCCAGCATGCCTCAACCCCGGCACCTGAGCCCTGGAGGGCCTCCGGGCTAGGGGTGTCCAGAGGGATGGGAATGATGCCTTTCTCGGGCAGGGGCTCCCCCTGCTGCAGAAACCAGGGCAGTGAGCTGCGCCGTGCGTGGTGAGAGGTGGACTGTGGGGGGCTCTGCTCTGCCTGGGAAGGGAGGAAACACCAGCTCTCCCATCCCCTCCTCATTTCCAAATCTTTCAACGGCAAGGGTCGACTTAAGTTATAAAACCTTCCACTGCCATCATTCTTCTCTCCTGCCCTAAGACCTTCGTTGGCTCCCCACTGCCAATAGGGCACAGGCTGTGGGCTGTATTTTTGCCATTTAAGGTTTCTGTGCCCCAGCACAATGGCTCTTCCTGGCTTATGCTCAAAATATGCCTTCTAGCCAGCCTGTTGGCTTTCCTATCTCGACCTCCCTCTGCTCACATCCACCTCAGTGCCTTTGCTCAGGCCAAGTCCTGCCTGGAGTGCTGATGCACTTCCCGTACTCCTAGGCTTGGCTCAGGGGTCACCCTCTGCCCTACCCCAGCTTGCGTCCAAATTTCTTTTCTCCATCCCTTTCATCGGGAGCTTTGCGGATATGACAGACTTGCTGTTTAAGTTTTCATTTGCTTTTCTGCCTCCTGAGGGGTCCCAGCTCAGCCTATCCATTTCTGCGTGCTTCTCATGGCCCAGCTAAGGCTTTTGAGAATGGCTCTCCGTTGAAGCTCAAAGAGGTGGAGGTGCTGGCATCTCTCTCTCTTGGCTTAGTAGACCTTCCTAGTCACTTCAGATGCACCTTCCCAGTCCTTGAGAGGCCTAGGCTCTGAGACCTTGGAGGATGGGGTCCCTGGGGACAGAATCAGGGACCCTGGGCATCCAGCTCTGACTCACCCCAGTGGGGGGGTCCTCCCCCCCCGACTCATTTCCTTTCGGGCATTTGGGTACCTTATAAGGCTGTCCACTCGTGGGCCTCCCCGTCTAACAGGGAGAAGGATGTGGCCTGGGCCCCGGCAGGGAGATTCAGGCCCTTTTGCTCAGAGCAGCTCTTGAGAACGGTCCCGCAGCTGCAGGCCACAGCACTGATTCATACCCGGGCAGTAGTGACTGATGGGCCCCGGGGCCACAGTTCTTACGAAGACCAGAGCTTAGCAAAGGGAAGATGCTGTAGTGGGGTTTCTGGCAATGTAATAGAAAGGGGGCACATTCTGGCACCTCTCAGAAGGCAAACTGCCATTCAGTTCTCTGCTAGAATCAAGCCGCAGGGCCGGGACAAGGAGGTGTGTAGGGGGTTGCCCAGGGCTGTCTGCAGTCGGGCCCCTCCTGGGGAGCAGGACGGCTGAGGGGCACCAGGCGGGTGGTCCTGTCTGTCACCAACCAGGCCTTCTCAGTGGGGAGAGGAGAGAAAAGAAGACAGGAGTGAGAAGAGGGGGGCAGGGGGAGGACAATGGTAAGGAGTCCAGACAGACAAACGCACTTGGGGACAAGGAAGGGGGAGCGGGTGCAGACCGGGGAGCTGCTGGAAGAGGCTGCAGAAAGCGCTGCTCCTCACAGGGTGTGGCAGGGCACTCCCTCCCCAGGTCGCGCCTCAAAGCACTCCCTGTTCCTGGCCTGGGTGTCTGAGGCCGGGGTACCGGCCTCCTGCAGTCACGGGGGTCCTCTGAGCAGTCACTGAAAGCCTGCTGGGTGCAGGGGGCCCAGACTGCACTGGGGTGACCCCACTGGGTACAGCAACAACCCTGCACGAAGCCAAGCCTGACACCATCCAGCCCGGGGGCCAGTGTCGGCCGGTGTTGGACAGCCCACAGAACCTCGAGACGGAGAGCTATTTACTGCTGGGGGTCCTGTGTCCACCCTGCGGTCGGACTCCCGAAGACCGCGGCCTGGGGTGGCATAAATGCAGCCCCCTTCTCTCTAGGACTGGTGACCACTTTTGGGACCTCCTGGCTCTTTCCTCTGCCTAAGGAATCCCTCATACTTCTGGCCAGTCTGGGTGAGGGTCTCAAGCCCCTACTCACCTGCAGATATGGGTCCCACCAACATAGCCAAGGTCAAGGCCAGGACCAGGGCAGGGGAAGGAGGCGGAGGCCACAGGCCGCAGCGCATCTTGGTGGGCTGGGCAGCAGGACTTGCAAGGATCGGAGTGGAGTCCAGACACCAAAGTCTCCAGTTCAGAGAAAGAGGCTCTTCTGGCGGGGCTGGGGCTCCAGGGCGTCCGCGGAGCTCTTAACTCTGGGGGCGGGGCAGGCGCCAACCCGCGCTCCGGTTTCAGGCCGGGGCTCCCCCCCCTCCCCCCCAACCTCCTTAAAGGGCCCATGCTGGGCTGCTCCTTCCTTTGCAGGGATGAGGAGACCCTTACAGATCAGTTAAATGCAAGCCTCACCCTGGAGATTTGGGACAAAATCCCAGAGGAGCCCAGACCCCCTGAGCTCTGACCCAAGGGCTTCCAGAGACCTCCTGTGGGAGGAGACGGGAGCTGGGTTAGGCCCCTCACTTCTCTCCCTTCTGCCCTGCAGGAGTTGGGGCGGGGTTCCCTACACTCCAGGCCTAGGAGGAAGGACAGACGCCTGCCATCCCTCAGACTGCTTCTGGTGGGTTGCCTCTGAGGACTCCGTAGGACTGCCTTTGGGCAGAGAGGCGCCGGCTTGAGGCCCTGCCCTGCTCTGTGCCTGCAGACGGTGCAGCCCTGGACACTCTCTGCCTCTGGGGCCTCAGCCTCCCAGCCTGCGAAGGAGAGATGCTCAGGACTGTCCCACCGGGCGGGAGGGATTCTCAGCTCCGTGGTATCATCTGCTTCAAAATAACGGGGTAGGTGAGAGCCGCTCCCCTCCCTGCTTCATGGAGGAGGACACAGGCTCAGAGCTGGAAGCGGTTCTCAGGGGAAGAGTGGGTCCCTGGCCCTCTGGGACCAGGACTCCCAGCCTCCGGCTCCTGAATTCGGGTGTTTCGGTTTCCTGGGGCTGCTGCCTGGAAATCTAGCCCTGGATTTAGCTCCTACCTAACAGTTTCAGGCTGGAGCCCCGCTCCGCTTGGCTTCCTCCCAGGCAACAGCATCAGCCTTGTCCCTCACAGAGAGAGCCCCAGTCCTGGAAGCCCTGCCCCCTCTCCGCCTCGCCCCAGCCTCGGCACTGCCTGGCCTGCTGTCCCTGTCCACTGGTAGAGCACTCCAGGGGCGCCTTCCTCCTCCCTCCATCAGAATCCCTCTGTCACACCTGCCTGCTTCAGGCCACCCCCAGTCCCGCCCTACCACCCACTCTCTTCCCAACCTCTCTCCTTGACCAGCGACAGGCCCTCTACATGCACAACACTTTTTAGCTTGCGACAAAACTGAGCCCCATTGTGCAGATGAGAAAAACAGAGGCTGAGAGAGATTAAGGGACTTGAGCAAGTCTACACAGCTGCTAAGGAGGGGAGCCAGTTCTTCGGCCCCAAGCCCGGTGCGCTTACCGCCGCAGCTCAGCGGATGGTGCTGGGTCTGTGTGGTCGCTGAGCCCTGATCTTGAACCCCGGCCTTGGGTGCGAATCCAAGCCTTCCTACTCAGCCCGCCAACCTTGAGTGAGTCACTTCACCTCTCTGTGGCTCAGTTTTCTCATGGGTAAAATTGGGTTTGTGAGGATTGAGTGCTTTGATGTACCTCAGGTCCCTAGGCCAGAGCCTGCCATACAGCAGGTGCCCAGTAAAGGCTTGTCCTTTCTCCTCGGCTGTGGTCCCGCACACCCTTCTGTGTTGCACAGTTCACATACAGCTCCACACTGATCCCCTCCCCTGATGGAAAGCCAGCAACTTGAGGGTGGAACCTTCCAGCTGTGTACAGTAGGTGCTTAATAAATGCATGCTGGGGCTGATATGAAGCTAGTTGCTGCTGCTCTGTGGGGATTTTGGCAAACCTAAGGACTCCCATTTGGTTCACCCTAGGAGGCCTGGGGTGGGGCTGTGCTCAGCTGGCCTCAATGGCAATAAAGCCATTGATTCCACAACTTTTCCCTTGTTTTTCCGTCTCGCTGAGACAGCAAGGCACCTGGTCCTTGTTAGGGGCTAATTACTGGCCAAGCGTGGGCCCAAGGTTGGGGGCTGCTGGGACGCCTCTTCAGAGGAAAGGAGCTTTCTCTCTGGAGTGAAAGAGAAGGGAGGAGAGGGCTTTTGCCTCTTTATGAATCAAAAACTCGGGTGCAGACTCCCCCCCACCCCACCTTCCTGTTCTTCCTCCTTCCCACCCCTCCCTTCTCCCCGCCCCCCAACCCCGGCTCCCTGTCTTCTGCTCTCCCCCGGTCCCCACCCACACAGATTCATCCACCCCGACCCGGAGTCATTTGCCTGTCTGTGGAGCCTCCAGCCGGAGTTCCCACCAACAGATGAGATTCAAGTCAGGACTAGGTCCCCACCTCCCCCAGCCTCGCTGCTCGCTGGGGAGGCAAACATAGGCCTGGAAAAATAATGGCAACCAGCACAGCAGTAATAGCCCACACTTGCTTCTCTGCAGGCCTCTTGACAACCCTGGGAAGTGTGTGCGTTGGGGGACAGTGTTCCCTTTTCACTGATGAGAAAACTGAGGCTCAGGGGTGCTGGGGTGCTGGGATGCTGGCTCCAGTGCACACTGGCTGGCCCTTGTTTGGTCTGTAGCCAGGACTCAAACCCTAGACCGGCACTGAGCTGTGTCATGCCAGCAGACGGGCAGCAAGCTGAGGCCCTGTGGTGCTTTGGAGCTGGTTTCTGACTATCCCCTGTTGTCCCGGAGCACAGGTGGTGGGATCAGGCAGGGCCGCATCTCCGTGGCCCCTCCCTAGCCTCCTTGCGTGTCCTTCTGAAGGCCTGAGGCCTGGGTCCTGAGTATTGCTGATTGGGGCATCCCTGGAACCCTCAGTCCTTCTCCCTCCGCATTCCAACCTTTGTCATGACTTCCTCTGGTTTGGGCTGGTCACGTGTCCTTGGTGACGGTCCCTGGCCACATCTCACCTTCCATGAAGCCCTCCCAGTCAGTCCTTCCTGCCTCTGACCTTCCCTTCCACAGACTCCCTGGCGTAGTGAACTCCACTGCCCCTGGTTGGGTGGGGGGCAGCCTCCGGGTCACTGGGAACTGGGCCAGGAGGTCTGAGGCAATGCCTGCCCAGGCCCGTAGGCTCACACCTTTCCAGCAAAGCCCGAGACAGGACGCACAGGTTGGGGAAGAGGGACACTCAGAACATATCTGAAGAATGAAGACAAATGCCCGCGCCCCAGGGTTGAAGGAGGATTCCGAAGCTATAACGACCTGTGGTTTGTGCTGCCTCAGTTTCTCCAAGTGATCTGTCTCTGGGAGAAAAAGGCAGCAAGAGCCCAGTATCACCGACCTCCCCGCCACCAGGGTTCAGCCAAGCATGCTGGCCAGGAGCTCCGGGTCACTCTTAACCCTCCATGCTTCCTGGGCTAGGAGTGCCCGCTCTGGCAGCGTCTGTGGCTCGGTCCTGCTCTCAGCCGGGGCCTGGCCCTCCGCTTGCCTCTGAGTTTTACACCCTGGCTGTGCAGGCCCCACCCGGGAGCCTGTGGCCAAAGCCAGCGAGTTGGTGAGTGGCGGGTGCTCATGCTCTAGCTGAGGCATGCTGCAGCCGCCCAGGGCCTGGCCTCAGGGACCTGACCTTCCGCCATGAAGGGCACAGACCCTGGCCACTAGCTACTGTGCAAAGGCATACTTTTGTCTTTTGGCCCCAGTCCCAGGGCCCTGCAGTTTCTTGGGCAGGGGATCAGTGGCAGCTGGGCCTCTGCTAGGAGTGGTCTTGCCCCTGTTCCTGGGTGGAGGCATCCATGGGGCACTTCCAAGTACAGGCAGCCAGGCTCCCAGGGGCGGGGCAGCTCTTCCCAACAATTACACAATTCAGGAGCTGAAGTTCTGTTTGCTGCCCTCGGGAGCTGGCTGTGGATGGGAGCCCAGGGGCAGGGTTTTGCCCTGGTTAGGAGCAGCTTCTGAGTCATGCCCAAGATAGAGCGGGGAGCCGGGCATGGGGCGGTTGGGGGGAGACCTTTCCGAGCCTCTGCTCCCCAGAGCAGGCCCTCAGTCTTCCACACCATGTCCACAAAGGCTTGTGGCTTCAGTGGATGTGACCAGCTGGCCACAGCTGAATCCTCCTGAGGTTGTGCTATTTCTAAATATTGGTTCATGCCGTTAACCCCTGCTGTGCTCCACCCCTGGACATCTGGCTCTCTGCAGGGAGATCTTCTGGGAAGGGGAAAGAAGAGTCCCTCTTTGGATGGGAAATTTCTGAATGAATTTGCTCAAGGCCCAGCATGAGGCAGGCACTTCTGAGGGTTGGGGTAGGGCTTCCACCAGGATGAGAAATACTTGATCAGGACCGGGAATGAGGCTTGCAACGGGTGTTAGGAAACGTGGGTCTGAGCTGGCAGTGGGCCAGGCAGTAGAAGGAACGTCGGGTGAGGACCGGGAAGTGCGGCTCTGCCAAGCCTTTTCTGTGCGGCCTCAGGCGGGCCACTTCACCTGGCTGCACTTTTTCTCCCAGCTGTGAATCGTGGAGCCACCGTGAAGCTTGAACAGTGCCCTCTAAGAGAGGTGCTGGGCCTTCACAGACTGCGAAGCGCAGAGCCTGGGGGTTATAATGATGGCGACTGCTGATGCCAGATCCTGTCTGTGCACGGAACCAGCAGCTCCTTGAAGGAGAGGTGAGACTGACAACCCAGAGAGAACTGGAGCAAGCTGTGCTTAGCCCGTGGGGCTTAGAGGGTGTGTCACCCTACACGAGAGCCTACGGCTTGGATTTCAGTCCCCACTAACCCCAGGGGCTAGGTGTCTTTGAACAATGAAAAGTCTGTAGTAGCCAGCCTCTCAGACAGCCCTCACCTCCGGCGTTCACACCCGTAGTAGTCACCTCCCACACTGAATGGAGCTGACCTGTGTGGGCAACAGGGCGTTGCAGCAACGGTGCAGCTAGACTTCCGAGGCAAGGTCGTAAGAGACATGGAGGTCTCTGCCTTGCTCTCTTCCGTTGCTTGCTCAGGTGGGTGGGGGGGCCAGCCACCGTGACCTGACGACAGTTAAGAGGGCCCATGTCGAGAAGAGCTGAGGCCTCTTGCCAACAGCCAGCACCACCTCACCATTCCTGTGAGCAAGCCGTCTTGGGAGTGCATCTGCCAGCACCAAGCAAACCTTCACATGACTGCGGCCCTTCCTGACATCCTGACTGCCACCTCCTGAGAGACTTGGAGTAAGAACCAACCAGCTAAGCTACTTACAGGCTCCTGACCCACAGAACTTGTGTGCAATAATATTTATTGTAAAGGTAAGCCCTTAGGTTTTTGAGGATAATTTGTAACTAGTGCAAACTGGCACAATTGTAAGTGGTAGTCTGGTGAACCAGACTGGGCACAGGTCTGGGACTCAGAAGGCAGGACTCAGCTCCCATGAGGAGGAATGATGTTTCCTTGATCAATCAATGGATCAATTCATCCATTCATTCAACAAATATTTCTTAAGTACTTACCATAGGACAGACACTGTGCTCCGGCCTGGGGACAAATGACAGTAAATGACAGGAGCCCTGCCTTTGGGAGCTCACAGGCTCCCCAAAGTTGACCTGCTGATTGTTGGATGTGGGGTGTAAGGATGTGGAGATGTCTGGGACAAGCCCAGGGTTCCAGCTTGGGCGCTTGGATTGGTAGGGGCATTGTTCATTGAGATAAAGTGGGACAGTAGGCATTTCACAGAAAAGCTTCGGGCATGTTGATTTTGGAGTGCTTGTGAGAAACCTGGTGGCACTGGGCAGGCTGACACATATGCGGGTCTAAAGCTCTGAAGAAGGTCTGGGCCAGATGCATATGTACTCGGGAGGTGCCTTGGTACCAATGATGGGGTTAAAGCAACAACATGAGATGTGACTCCTCAGGTGAGTGGAGGGTGATGGAAAATGAGAGCAAGACACTCTGAGACACCAATTTTTTTCTTTTAACTCTTCTTTTGAACATAATTTCAGACTTACAGGAAAGTAACAAGGTCACTACAAATATTTCTCACATTCTCTTCACGTAGATTTCCCAAATGTTAATATTTTACCATATTTCTCTTTTCTCTGTATCGATCTATGTATATTTTCCCTGAATTGTTTGAGATTATGTTGCAGACATAATACTTCCTTATCCTTACATACTTCCGTGGGTATTTCCTAAGCATAAGGATCTTTTTCATAACCAGAGTTCAATGATCAAAGTCAGGAAATGAACATTGGTACAATATTTTTAACTAGCCACAGACTTTCTTTTCCAGTTTTACGAATTTTTCCATTAATATCCTTGATAGCAAAAGAAAATCCTGGCTCCTACATTGTGTGTAGTTGTCCTATCTCTTGAGTTTCTACTAATTCAGGAAAGTTCTTTAATGTTTGTCTTTTGTGACATTGCCATTTTTGACAAGTACGGACCAGTTGTTTTGTAAAGTGGATCTTACTTCGAGTCCATCTGGTTTCTTCATGATTAGATGCAGGTCGTACGTCTTTGGGGGGGCCGTCCCAGCAGTGATTCTCTGTACTTCTCAGGGCGTTCTCTCAAGAGGCACACCTCTGTCTCTCCCGTGGCCAGTGATGTTGACTCACATCACTCGGGTGAGGAGGTGCCTGCCGGGATTCTTGCTATAAAGTTACTGTTTTCCTCTTTGCAATCAATCAGCATGTGCCAACACTGGGAGGTCAGGCTGAGGAACAGCCAGGAAGGAATCCCGTGAACGGGCAGTGGGGGCGTGGGAGGGGGACCCGGGCAGCTGCAAGGAGGAGGAGTGGTCAGTCATTTTGGTCCAGTGCTGCTGAAAGGCCAAGCTGGTGATGGTGGAAAGTGCCCAGTGGCTGTAGCCTGCACATGCAGGTCAGGATTCAGGTGGAATGGTGGCCTGAAGCCAGTCTGTGGGGAGTCAAAGTGCGAAAGGGAGGGGGAAATGGAGACAACAGGGAAAATGCCTCTCCGGGGAATTCTGTGTGTGATGGAGAGGTATGTGGGGCCGGGGAGATGGCTTTAATAGATGCAGGGGTGCGCGGAGTATGTTAGGAAGGGACCAGGTGAAGGGTTAGAGCGAGGAGAGGTGGGTGGTAGAGGGCGAAATGTTCTTGAGGAGGCCGAGGAGATGGGAGGAGGTTGGTGGGTCCTGCCAAGCCCCAGGAGGGAAGTAGGAGCAGGTGGCAGCAGAAGCCGGGCACTCTGGTGGCGCAGCAGGGAGGGGCCGGGTCAGAGTCCAGTCTGACGGCCGCAGTGTTCTCTGCGGAGGAGGAGAGAGGGAGGGCCCGGCCCGCAGAGCCACTTGAAATGATGTCTGGGGAGAGGGAGGAAGCCAGCGGACTGGAGAGGAGATGGGCAGATGGGTGTCACGGAGGCGAGTCCAGGGCTTGGGGGCCAGGAGACGCCCCCCAGCACCTCTTAGCCACCTGGCACGGTGGACGAGGCACACCTGGTGACTTGGGGCTGGGAGATTTGCCAAGAACTGGACACAGAGGGCAATGAAGGCAGGAGGAGACTGCAGGGCAGGGAGAAAGTTCAGGGTCAGCCCTGGGGTCTTGGTGTGCAGTCAATGCGCACAGTGAGCGTCCTGGAGCAGAAGCGGAGGGGCAGGCGAGGGTGTGCCAAACAGAGGCACGTGCCTGTGCCCTGGGAGGTGGCTGAGAAGCCCAGCATGTGCTAGGAGGAGGGTGGCTGAGGAGCAGTGGAGGGGAGGCGTTTGGAGAGGAGGAAGTCTGAGAAGTGGGAAGCCAAGGTGATGTTCCCTGGGGCGGCCTAAGTGCTCAAGGGAATGGCAGGAGTTGGGGGGGGCAGATGGCTGCCTGAGAGGTGAGGAGGGGTGCCCTGGATGCTGCTGACAGGAAGGGGACGCTGCCTGGGTGGGCACCAAGGAGACCAGGGACCCCCTCCCCCTTGGGCTCTGGAGGGCAGCGTGTGAGAGGCGGAGCAGCCGCTTTGGGGGGGAAAGAGGGCTGTCTCCAGGGGGGGCTAGGTCTCCTTTAGAGCCGGGAGGAAGGAGGCATTGGAGCAGAAGTTGGGTGGCTTGTGACCTGCTGGTGTGAAGAGTGGCTCAGTCTCCCCAAGAGAGCCGTGTGTGAGCAGCATGGGGGGTTTCCAGGAAGCTGCCTGGGTCTAAAATACTTGGAGGCACCCCAGACAGGAGGGCGGAGGTCCCAGCCCCACATATGGCCCCCATCAGGATGAGGGGACCGTCAGGGCCAGGGCCCAGCAGGCCTGAAGCTTCCTCCAGGGAACGCTGACAGGGATGGGGCTGAGGAGGTGGCACTGCCGGTGGCCGGAGGCCCGCTGAGGCCGAGCCAATCCCAGCCTCGTCCAGCCCTTCCTCTCCAGGAATCAGAGGCTTGGCTGCCCTGTGGGTGATGTGAGGGACACAGGGAGGTGCTGCTGATGCTAGGCGGGGACCCTGCCCCCTTTCTGTCCCACAGGGGGCTTCTGGGGCGGCTGTCATGCCTGGCTGGTCTGCGCGGAGTCTTCACTGTGCCTGCGGGTTGGAATGAGTTCAGAGCATGGTCGCTTTCCATTGACTTAGAAGCTAGGATCCGAAGAGAACTCCAGGGTTGGTGTCCAGTTCTGCCTCTGCTACTGATGTGACAGGAGACTTCGGGCAAGTTCGTGCCCTTCTCTGGGCCTCAGTGTCCTTATCTGTGTGCGGGGCTGTGCCGGACACCCTCTCTCCTTGTCCCAGCCGTCTTCTGTTCCCAAGGTGGAAACGCTGCTTAACTGGTTCGGATCGCATCCGCAGTCTGAGCTATGAATTGGTGGGTGTGAGCAGGCCCCGGGCCCCCAGCACTCCTGGATCTTCAGGGCTGAGAGGGTCTCCATCATTTCTCAGCCCCGGGACTCCTCCTTCCGGCACGGGGCAGTCGGTTATCTTCCCTACCCCTCACTATTTCCTCTCACACCCCCCTCCTCCTAGAGCGTGCTCCGAACCACAGGCACAGGAAGTGGCTTCTTCAGACAACAGCACCACCCCTTCACCTTTCTTTATTTGCTCCTCATTCCCTGTCTGAAATACCAGCACCAGGAGGGTATTCCTTGAGCTGGACCTGGATCTCTAAAGACACAGTGTGCCCTTCGGTAGGAGTCTGGGAAGCTGTCAGATAGTCAGTCACACCTTAGTGTAAAGTAACTGGCTTGACCCTTTCCCAAGGAAAAACAGATTTTCATAGAAGGGAGAGCATGTCCAGAACCCGAGGTGATAGGTGGTAGAGACAGGGGGTAGGAGGTCACCCCACGGGGCTCTGCAGGCCGCAGGAACCCTCCACCCATGACCTACCCACTTTTTCCATTTCTTTCCCCAACACAGGACACCCACCAGGAATGAGGAGCTGGCACTGTCACTCTATGTCTCATTTTCCCTCCCCTGACCCAGGGTCCTCGGCACCCTCAGACTCTTTGGTCTGGTAGGCAGTATGGGGCAGTGGGGCCACGTTTTCAGGTTCTGCAGCTGAGCTGCCAGTGTAGAATTTCTAAGCTACAGTTTTGGCGCCACGGCAACTGGGGGAAATAAACACTGTCCAAGTTGTGCGGTGACATCATCCCCAGATCCAGCCTTCTTGTGGCTGGCTGTACCCCAGACAGCCTCAGCTCACAAGCTGGGGCACCGTGTGGCTTCCCAGCCCCCACACAGGCTCTGGAGTCGGGGAGAGGGAGGGGACCCGGGCCTGGGCAGGGACTCCTGGAAAAGGCCCCCCACAGACCTAGCTTCTTGCCTGCCCCTGAGATCTCACAGTGGCTACTACTGCCTGCTCCTCGGCCCCAGCCGTGAAACTGTCCAAAGGGGCCACGAACTCTGTGCTCTACGGGCAGCACCCAGAGAAGGTGGTACAGGTGCCCTCACAGCAGGAGGTAAAGCAGGCCCCTGTGGTCACAGCCAGGATCTAAGGTGAGAGCAGGCCCCACCCTGAGTGTGGGCGCATTCCTCTCTCTGTAGGGCTGCTGAAGGCCTCTCAGCGCTCCAGCCCTGCCTTCTGCAAAGCAGCTTCAGACTCCCTTGAAGCCTGCAGGAGAGCCGCAGCCCCAGGCTGACCCTGGCAGGCAGAATTAGCTGCTGGGAGTTCTCAGGGGAAATTTCAGGTGGGGGAGGGAGGGAACATAGGCTGAGAAGTTAGACCAGGGTTGGAACAAGGCTAGGGGTTCAGAGGAGCCTGTGGCCCGGCTTTAGCTTTCCTCCCTTCTCTTCAAACTTCCTCTCAGCTGATATCAGACAAACTAATTTCTGCTACGTTGTTAATGATTGATTGTCGCTGTATATTAGAGGGGGTTTTAATGTTTGGGCTCTGTTGGCCGATGATCTCAGAACTCTCACATTCACCGGGTTGTGTGACTTCGAGCACATTGAAATTCCTAATCCTCAATTTTACCATCTATAAAATGGGAAAAACAATAGTACCTATTGTGGAATTGTTGGGAGGTGTAACTAAAATGATCTACATAGAATGCTCAGCATTGTACTTGGCACAGGATAAGTTCTCAGTTAATTGTCGCCGTTACCTTTCTCATGATACGTGGCCAGTCCAAGAGCAACTGCCTTTTATCTGGGAACACGCCTTTCCCCCAGGCGAGCAGCCCAGTGGTGGGACTTGCGGCAGTGTTACATCTGTGGGAGCAAAGAGCCCAGGGTTCTCGTGGCCCAGTGTATTCAGTGCATCGCCTGCCTTGGTTCTGTGGGCCAGGATGAGGGATGCTGTGTCTGTCTCACAGGTCCGGGGCCTGCCAAGTACCTCCGGCCATCCTGCACAGGCTACATCGACCTGGCATCTCTATGTTCCAGAGCCGGCCTATACCCTGCATGCCCGGCACTCAGAGAGGCGTGAGCACTCACCTCTCCCATCATCCCCTGGGCGTAGGGTTATTATTGTTGGATATTTGGGTGGCAGTGAGTGGTAAGGAGCCATTATCTGTGGCCACAGTTCCCTTGGAGCCCAGACCTGCCCTGAGTGGGACAGCCAGGTGGCCCACTAGGTCCAGAAAGAAGCCAGCAGGGTTGCCCAAGTGACCTACTTCTCTGAGGGCAACTCTGTGGGCATCTCCCCGCTGGACCTCCCGAGGGAGTTTTGAAGGACGCTGTCACCATCCAGCTAGCAGAGCAGGGCCTCCTTTCTGCCTGTTCTTTGGCTGGGGTTCACTCGCTACAGCAGCTGGGCAGGAAGAGCTGGGGAGCGGGGAGAATGGTGAGGACGGTGGCTCCTAAGGCTTCCCAAGTGGCTGAGAAACCCTTGGGAGGGCAGGAGCTGAGAACTGCAGAAGAGCTGGCTACTGGCCAAGGCTAGCAAGAGGAGAGGCTGGGCAGGGCTGGTGAGTGGGTACCTGGGGGGTTCTGAGATCTAGGGTGCCTGCTGGGGCCCTCCCTGGACTGCTACACCCTCCTCAGCAGGTGGACCCCCTGCTGGGGCTGGGCCCCCTTCTTCATACTGACAGTAGCCACTGTGCCTGTGAGAACCCCTGGCACCAGGCCCTGGTAGGATAGTGGCTGAGTTGCTGGAAACCAAAGCCATTGTTTTATCTGTTTCTCTGCACAAGTTCTTGAGACTGTTAGGTTATGGTTAAAAGCCCCATTTTACAGTTGAGGAAATCAAGGGTCCTCAGACATGCAAGAGACCAAGGAATGTGAAGGCAGCCTTCATTCCTCTCTCTGGGGAGGGGGTCCTCACCTGGAGGCAGGCCAGGCTCCTGCTGGGTGGCCTCCAGGGCTGACTGGGCCTCTCTGCGGCTGCCCTCGGGAATCACAGGCACACGCAACCCTGGGCCTTGCTACTTCTTGGACCCTAAAATAACTCGGTCTGGAATGTCCAGCTGCCCTCAGGTCCCCGTGGAGGAACGCATCTCCAACCTGCGTGATACGGGACAGGAGAGGGAGGTGGGGGCTGGGAGTTTGGGGGATGGGTACCTACCCTTAGGATCTAAGCAGAGGCAAAAGGCCGTGACCTCCCTAGCCAAGTCTGCTGCAGATGCTGGCATCTCCCTGCAATGTCATATCAAGACACTGATATCACCATGTCTATGTCACAGTACTTGCATCTTGAAGCCAATGGTATGCATGTATGTGGCAGGGTGATGGTATCATAAAAATGTCACAGGGCTCATGTCATGGCAGTGATATGGTCAAGCTAATGAGCTCACACAGACTGTAATGATGTCAGTGTTTTCCTGGTGCTGGCACAGGGACTGTGTTACAATGCTGTTAGCTCAAGAGTGAGGTTCTAATGATGCTGGTGCTTTTTATATTACAACAGTGTCACCATCCTGTGTTCAGGATGGTCCAAGTCCCTTGCTCTGCCGACAGCCCCATGCAGGGGTGCTGACATCCCTGCCTGCAGATAAGGTGGTTATAAGTGCAGCCACATCAGGCTGACCAGGACTCAGCTGCCTACATGGACCCATTGCTCGGACACCAGGAGATGTAGCCTGGCTCCCATCCTGACACTCCCTTCTTCCATTCACCCACTTTCAGGCCTGAGCCCCACCCCAGCCCTCTCCCATTACAACTTGGAGAAGACCCGGCCATCCGGGGAACGCAGGGCTCCCCGGTACACCTTTGGCTATCGGTGTCCATATAGAGTGATGGACCCCAGTCCAGCCCCCAATAAGTACCAGCTGCCACTATTGCTGGGGCCCAACATCCCTGTCAGCCATGCTGCTCCTTGCTACAGTTTGGCCTCCAAGGACAAGAACTGGTTCTACGAGGAGAACGTGGCAGGAGGTCCTTAGCCTGCCATGCACGCCCGGCCTGAGCCATCTGTCTACCAGAACTGCAGCCCATCTACAGTATGACCAAGTGCCTACCTGGTGTGCCACACGCTGTGGCCTGGTCCTGCCTCCCACGACGTCCAGTGGGTCACGGTGCACAAGCTCTGGATACCTGCTTTCACTCTGGGCATCAAGCACTCATCCCACCTGTGCCCGCTGGTCATTGACGTTCACGACTGAGGCCCCTCCTGGGGCACTCACCCACCTTTTCCCACCAAAGTTATTTTTCTATACCAGCCTGAGCAACCTGACCACGGTTTTGAGTAGCAGAGCTGGTAATTGCTGTATCTAGTGCAGCGCCCTGTTGGGGAGAAGTTCTGTTCTGGCTCACGGGGAGGCAGCTGTATGTCCTTCAAGGAGCCCTGGGCAGAGAGTCCAGAGAGCTGAGTTCTAGTTCTAACTGCTGCTCATGTGCTGTGTGGCCTTGTGCAGCTCCCATCCCTCTCTGGGCCTCAGGGTCTGCCCTTCAGACAGTGACAAGGGCAGGGTAGGCCTGGAGAATGTCCAAGTTCCTTCCAGCTCCAGGACTGTGTGGCTAATCCCTGACAGTGGTTAGTACCCAGGAGAGAAGCAGGCAAGTGGGTGCTTCAGAGGAGGACGGGGCATTTCTGGATGGGGACAGGGTGGGAAGCAGAGGGAGAGGAGATTTCCTAGGGGAGGGACCGGAGAGGACAAGTGGGGACGGTGTGTAGAAGGGAGGGCATCTTGGCAGCAAAGTCACGCAGGGCAGGGAGCTGGGGGAGGCACAGAAGGCAGAAGCCTGAGCTGTGCAAGGCTGGCTGAAAACAGGGCCCGACCATGGGCAGCAGGGAGGGGACTCGGGCTTGGTCCTGTGCGACGGGCTGGATGAGATGCAGTATTTTCAGGATTCTTCAGGCAGCGAGAGAAGGACAGGATGGGCAGAGCGAGGGAAGAGACGGAGGGCCAACGAGGCTGCCGGGGGAGGGTCGGCGTGACACAGGCTGTCCCCGAGGGGCACTTGCGTGCCCTTAGCCTCGGCAGTTCAGCCCTGCAGTGCCCGGTGGGAGGAGAAGGGGAGCCGTGAGCGAGCCGGGAGGGGGCAGTGTTGTCTCGGCTGTGAGCCCAGCCTGCGCCCGCCCGCCTGACTCCTTCCCGCTCTGCTGCTTTTGGGCACACGGGTGCCAGCTCTCCTGCTCCCTGGGGACGGTATTTGTCTTTTCCTCATTCTTGGCATCCAGGTCCCCCATTCCAACCTGCCCAGATCAGCCCCTCTCGCAGCTTCCCTGACTCAAGGAGGTGTAAGGGGGACCTTTATTGGGCGCTCTGCAGCCTGGGTCCAGCGTCAGAGGCAGGGCAGGGGCCGTGGAGGGAGGGGGCGCAGGGACGGCAGAGACGAGGCGGAATGTCCCCGACCCGCTCGGGCACAGGCAGTTCCACCGGCAGCCGCCGCACAAGGGCGGAGGGGCAGGAGGAAGGGGCCGCTCAGAACCGGGGTCTGCAGGCTCCTCCTTTTGGATTTGAACAATACTCAGGTAGTAACGGAAAGTGAGAATTGAATGGAAGAACCGATTTTGGATAGAAAGGACCAGAGAATATCTTGGGAATATTAAAAACAAAAACAAAACGAAAACCAACTGAGTATTTAAAAAAAAAGCTGTAGAAAACCCCACCGAGGTCACACCCGACTCTGGGCCCCCAATTCCCTCCCTCCCCCCTCCCCCCTCCAGGCCTGGGGTTGTGTGTCTGCCCCGCCTCCCCACCCCCCAGTAAGGCTGGTCTGGGCAGGATCCAGAGACAGCAAGTGAGCTGGGGGCCCATCTGTCTTGCAGCAGATTAGAAAGATGTCATTTTGCCGACAATGCCATTTATCACAGCAGCTACAAAAATTAGTGATGCTTGCACTGAAAGTATCTGGTAGGGGTGAGGGCTGGCAGGTGGCAGCGGCTAATGCTCTCTTGTGTCACCAGGTCAGGGAAGCTACAGGCCAAGCTCTGAATAGGGGTTTTCTGATTTAGTGCCCATCCCATCCTAAGGCCTTCCATTGGAAAAATGGGATAACTGAGGCTCAGAGCCAATGAAATAACTTTGGCCATATGACAAATTAATGGCCTGTCTCTAAATAAAGGTCCAGACTCAGCGTGTGACTACGGTCAGGGTTCAGTGTGTGTCCAGGGTAGGGCTTGATCTGTGACCAGGCCCAGAGCTCAGTCCGTGGCTAGGTTTGGGGCTCAGTCTATACTCCAGCCAGGGCTCAGGCTTGGGTGAGGCCCTTGATTTATATTAGGACTCAATCTTAGTTTTTGCCTCCATGCCTTAGCCTGGGGCAGACCATCAGCCTGACCCCAGCTGCCACCAGACATGGGTGGGGACTGGGCATTAGCCTGAGAGCTAAACTGACCCTTAGTTTGTTGTCCCAAAGGCAGGAGAAGAGGCCGGAGGATTCAGAATGGATCTTTGGGGGATAAAGATGTTTGGAAGAGGGATTGCCCCTCCAAGACAGGGGTGCAGCCTCCAGAGAAGGTGAATGAACCCTCCCTTGGGCCCCAGCCCACAGCGTGACAGGGCCGTTTAGCTTGGGAATGGCCTTTCGACAAAGCAGTTCCCAGTTCTTGGCCTAGCCTCCCTGTATTGGTGACTGGGTGGGTGACCTACAGGAAGTCAGGTGGGCATGGCTTCCTAGGCCTGGCTGAGCGCTGCCCCTGCCCCTGCTGAACGACTCGGGGGGCACTCCTGACCTGGCAGGAAGCCCTGGTCTGACTCTTGTACAACTTAAACCTGTGCCCTCAGGTACTTATGGCCTGGCAGGTGACCTCACAGACACGATCATGCATTCACTCAACAACCACATGGTGAGCACCTGTCCTGTGCCAGGCTTTGGCTGCATGTAGGTGTATGAAAGATGCTGAAGGCCCAGCTATGCACTCCAGGAGTCAGAGGGTGGCTCAGTGAGAGGATGAGAAGCAGCTCTCTCTGACCATGAGCAGATACTGGAGGGTGCATGAGGGTCAGTACATGGCAGGGCGCTTACCAGAGCTTCTTCTCTCCTCTCCAGGGGGCAGGAAGAGGCCAGGCGTCTGGGGGGCAGCCCCACAGGGCTTGGTGGTAAGACTGCAGTTATGTGACCTTCCTGGACACTGGCTGGGAGGGTTATCTCTTTTTCTGTTGCTGCTGGGGAGACCCTGGGGGTCAGTTGTCACTGTGGCTCCCCGGAGCTGGGAGATGGCGGCCCCAGCCAGGAGCAGAGAGGCCCTCCCCTGGCACCCCTGACACAGTCACACAGGCATGGGCTGAGCGCAAACCAGGTCCTTCACTCATAAAGACATGGAGACAAAACACCAGCACTTCTTATTGCACTGTACATGCACATGCACACGCACAGACGCCACACCTACACCCCCAGACCAGACACACCCAAACACCCGCCTCATCTACATGCATGGAAAAGACAGACATAGACACACACGTATGCTCCACACGCACACAGACACCACACACTGCACATGCCTCTTATCACACATACACACTCCGCTTTCTCCAGTCACCTCTTCATCTCACGCATACCCACGTCCACACAGGCATACTCACACTGCACACCGCCCTGGATGAACCCCGAGAACGCCCCCTCTCCTCCCTGACAGGTGCAGGGGCAGAGGGGTGGGGGTGGGCTGTGGGGGGAGGCCTGGGAGGGTTTCTGCGGAAGGGCCTGGGGTCAGAGGAGCTGCTGGCTGGCTGTTAGCCCTCCAATCAGGGTTCTGCCTTTGAAAGGGGTGCACTTAGTTGGGAGCCCTCACCCATATAGACAAGCCAGATCCCTTCTCCCTGCCCCCAGCACTCAGAGCCACCCACCCCAGGGGTCACCCAAGGACAGGAGGCTAGAGTAGGAGCTCCTGCCTCTCCTGTTCCCTGTCCGGGGCTGGGGTGGGAATGGGGGAGCTGTCTGGAGGGCAGAGCCCCCGGAGTCCTGGTGGGGTTCCGAAGCGGCGTCTCCCGAGCCCTCCGGAGGTGGAGAGTCCGCCCGCCGGCCTCCTGCTCCTTCCGGCGCCTGCCCTGCCCCCTGCGTGTCCGGTCTCTCCCATCTGGCCCTCCCCCCTAAGCCTTCTGCTCCCTCTGGCTCCCTTCTCCTCTCTCTCACTCGCTGGCTCTCTGTGTCCTGCCCTGTTTATCCTCAAGAATAAGGATTGACATTTTCAATTACCCCCCAAATAACAAAGAGGTTTTTGGAAGCCCCGAAAAGAAGCAGGTTGTGTGCGTGTGTGCCTGGAGCCTACAGGGAGGGCTTGTGGGGGGCTGGGCACACCCGCAATCCCACTGTCCTTTGCTTCTTCTCCTCTGCAGCCTTCATTTTTTCCTGGGAGAGTGGAAGCACGTTCCCCTTCAGCGGGGAAGGGAGACAAAAGGGAGAAATAAAACACTGTCATTGCTGTCTTGTAAACACAATGCGTAATGCAGAAGAGAGCTCATCAGGAGAGGGGCTGAGGGAGGGGCAGGGAAGGGACCAGGGGCCGAGGGGCGGGGAGAACAGGTGAGCCGGGGCAGGAGGAGCCGCCACCCCAGGGCTTGGGTGGGTGTGCGCGCACCAGGCGGGCTGCCAAGGGGAGGAGAATGACCAAAGCGTTGATCTGGGATGGCAGAAGGGGCCGGAGAAGGGAGACCCTTACACCGGAGGCCAAGCAGGGCCCAGGAGAGGGAGGGTCTCTTGGTGGCTCTTCTCTGAACATCTGCCTCGAGCTGGGCTCTGGGGACACCAAGGTGAGTAACCTAGACACCTGTTTGCTGCTGTGGGGCATGACATTACCTGGAACAGAGTGGGAGTCAGAATGTGGGTGATACACAGCCAGGTGGGGGCACCGGGATTCCAGCCGAAGTCCATCTGACTCCAATCCTTCCTCACACAGGCTCCACTCGGGGGCTGGGGGCTGGGAAAGAGGGTTGGGGACTTGGCTTTGCCATGTTTGCTGTGTGACCTTGAACAAGTCCTCCCCTCTCTGGGCCTCAGTTTCCCTATGTGAAAAATGGCAAGAATGCTGGCTGCTCTTCAGGGCTGCAGGGAGGGTCACATGCCTGGATGTGGGTGGTCACCCAGCTCTGGTTCCCTGGAGAACCAGCTCAAGGTGTGGGGGTGCAAAGAACACCTGGTGCTGGGGGAGGGACTGGCCAACAGCAGCCCGAAGGATGCTGGACTCCAGCTTTACTCCCTGCTGCTACCCAGTGGCAAGATT